TTATGAAATTATTTCTTGTCATACTTTCTTTTTCAACATTTAAACATGCAGTTTATTCATATATTCCTTCAGACAATTTATCAGATATTAAACAAATTCTACATATTCAAGATACATATATTGAATTAGCATGGAAATATCTACTCTACAAATATAATCATGAACAAGCTGTTAAATGTTTTTCTGATTTGATAAGATGTACTTTTGTTATTCATGATGCTATAGTTAAAGCACAAGATATTCAATGGTTTACAAATGCAATTGATTCTATTACTCAACAGATCGAACAGACATTGATTCTTGATGAATAAATGTTCTCGTTTTCTGTTGTATCAACTGTATTTGTATAATGTTGAGTGTTGATGTTTTTTGTTTTTTTTTGGTAAATACTACAAAATATTCATTATCAAACATTAAATGTCTCTGTTAATATGAATCGTTATCGAATTGTAGCAGATTTATTGTTGTTTATCATACAATATCAAAAATAAGTATTCAGTAAAGAATGTTGGTCTGCAAATATGATTTTCGATATATTGTCTATGCTTGTTTTGAATGAATCCATTACTAATGATGAATTATTTGTTCAGACTAATTATTGAAACTTAAAATTTCATATGAACGTTTTGTTTTTTCTATTAATATGATTTCGTTAATTTTTCTTTCAACAATTTAGAAATTCTTTCAAAAATAATCTTTTGAATTTTATTGATTTCATTCATGTCAATAACATTCTGATTTTTCTGAATAAGATGAAATAATTGATCATTGGTTTTTTATGAAAAATTCCGGAAAATAAATAACTATTTTGCATTTGAATGTTTTTCAAATAAACTTTTTCTATATTTTTCTATATAAATTATCCTTATTTTCTTGATAAATAGTAACAATTGAATCTTTCGAACATATATTGACATTGAGAACATGCATGAATGTATGTATATGGCAGTACCTACAACAGTTGAACAACAATATTTTGCTGTTCTTCACCTTAATAAAAAAAAAATAATTATTATTCATTCTGCCCTTCCTTTACCTACCATACTACACACATCGAGCAACAATCAGAACACGTCCTGTTTGTTCACACAACAGATTTTTGTGTTTTTTTCTTCGGTTCTACAGAATTCTTTCAGACAGGCAAATGTTTGACAAGCATCAAAGTGAAGCTTACATAGTGAAGGAATTGGACTGCAAAACATTTTTTGCTTTTTCTGTTTCCCAGTAACATTACTGAAAATGATTGTAAGTAGTTGTAAGAGCGAGCAAAACATTGATTCAACGTTCACTCAAGAACGAAAAAGTTATGTAATTTTATCGAGAAAATAAGAGTGTTGACATCCCGATAAACTCTCTCATTAAGAAGTTGTCAACTCCTATCATTGGGTGTGGGGTGTGGGTGTGTACGTAAATAACAGCTACACCCACGCCCACACCCTGCTTTTTGTTAAACACAAATATTGAGATAAACTTTTAGGCATTAAAGTTAAATATTTGCTTAGAAAAATGAAGTTATCGATAATAGCAAAACAATAAAGTCGTCAGATTGATGTAATCAATATTAATGAGTTTTGACTAATCATCGACACCTACATTCATCTATAGTTATACATTAAGCGCTGCATACATAGAAAAAAAATGCTGCTAGCGGTCAGAATTACATATCAAAATTCAGTTTCCATCTTATTTTATTTCTGTACTTGACAGAAAGACAAAAAAACTTTTGAAAGATTTATAACTCAACACTTCATAATATTTTTTAAGTTCTAATGTAATACAGTCAAATCGAGTGAGACTCACGTCTCACTCAACCAGAGATACCAGAAACTTGTTTTTTCTTAACCCGTGGGTCATCCATAACCCAGCCAGCAACTCTGTGGGTGGGTTTTTGTTAAAACTGAAATTTTTTTTTTCGACCCATAGGTCGTTGGGTGAGTTTCGTAGCTCGACCCATACCCATTGGGTAAACCCGATGGGTTTATCCAGTGTTTATTCACATTGAATTTTCTATTGTATATTAACGCAAATGGAAGTTTGTATTATCTGCGCAAGAATTGTAAATAATATGTAAGATCGTTCTATAGACTATGGAGTTAAAAGCTGTAGTTTTTTATATGAATAAAAAGACAATGTTCATCATGATTATGAAGACCAAGGAAAGTATAATACAAGATAAATGAAGAAGAGAATATAAAAATAGTAGTTAGAGTTGTTACACCATTATTTATGTTCACACTATTGACTGTACAGACAGATAAAAGGATCATGAAAAAGTGAAAGAAATAGACCAAGAAATTTGTCTACAGCGGAGAAACACAGTATACGTGATGTTGAATTTTTATGCACACTTTGTTTAAAAAAAAAACTGATTCTCAAAACAAAATATAATAGGTAAATCCATGGGTATCCATTCAACCACTTTTGGAGAAAAGTCTTTCTGTTATCGAATTTTGTATTCTGGTAAGACCAAAAGTGGATGGAAAATAGCTTTGGCCGAAAAATTTTATGACTTCTACCTGAAATACTGAAGATTTGAGTCATTTTCTAAGACCATCTAAGCAGGAAGATGAATACCCAGGTTACTACAATATTCAAAGGTCATATTTTGTCCAAAGATAGGATATCACTAGATTATAAGCACAACTTCCAAAGGATTCTTACTTTCAATTTGTTATAGCCGAGATACAAGATATTTAAGGAGAGCGATTCGTACATATTTACTGTGAAAAAAAGCACTTTGACCAAAATTATACCAAAGTCGTGCTTCTTAAAAGGCTTTTATTTCGGCTACAGCACATTGAAAGTAAGAATCCTTTGGAGGTTGTGCTTATAGTCAACTGATATCCTATCTTTGGACAAAATATGACCTTTAAGTATTGTAACCTGGGTACCCATCTTCCTCCTTAGATGTTCCTCGAAAACGACTCAAATCTTCAGTATTTCAGGTAGAAGTCATAAACTTTTTCGGCCAAAGCTATTTTCCATCCACTTTTGGTCTTACCAGAAAGACATTTTCCCAACGTCTTGGGCTACCCATGAATTTATCCTAATACGATAATGAAAAAAGAGACTTATTAACTCCTGAATCTATATGTATTTAACAAAGTTTCAGACTCTTAGAAGATATAAATATATCCAGAATAAAAGACATAAAGGAATCTAGGCTGCGAGAATCAAAGATATAATACACGATGTGATATAATCAACTTCGTCGATAGAAAGAAGAGAAAGAGTCGAAGAGTAAAAACAGGAAAAAAAAAGATGAAATAAGCTATATGTGTGTCACATTCGATCATCCTCCCTCAAGCAATAAATATTAAGGCACTGCAAAATCACGTATACCATATTGTAACGAAATTTGTACCCTAGGGAAAATCCTTGACGTTTCAGTGCCAAATCCTTGGCAGATCTGATCAGGATCCTGCAAGGATTCGCTTTTTTTTCTTGAGGAAACGGCTAAATCCTGAAAGAAACATGTAGTCATGGTTTTTCAGGATCTTTTCAGGATTTCAATAATTCAAAATTAAAAAAAAAAGAGATTTCTGATCACATCTTTTAGGATTTTACTAGGTTTCCTCGAAGATGTTATCAAATTTCTTGACAGGATCTTTGTAGGATTAGACTAGGTTTTCTTTAGGATGTTATCAGTTTCTTGGCAGGATCTTCTAAATAGAACATAAGAGAAATGAACACATAGAATATCGATTAGGGGCGTAACCAGATGGTGGCTAGAGGAGGCTCAGTCCCCCCCCCCCCCCCCCACCGAAGGCTTGAGCCCCCCTACAAAATTTTTGCTCCCCATACATAAAAATATTTATCTCCAACTTTGGTATCTTCAACAGCGCTCATATGAAGAACAGTAACAGGTTTCGATTCTCCTCTCTAAATTACCGTTATCTACGCCATATACATATCTAATTAGTTAATTGAAATGAACCGTTTTGTGCAGAAAGATGAGAGCTCTCACTTGAAATAAGTTTTACTTAGTGTCCTTAATTTAAAAATATCAAATGTCTTGGTCTCATGGAAAACTGAGCATGTTGTTTCTATCGAAAAATATGCAAGATTTACTTTTGGTTTTCTAATTTTCTTCAAGACTTTTTTTATCAAAAAATTTGTATGAACATTTTCTGACATGCATATGCTTTTTGAGTCTGTTGAATTCTATGTGATCATCTAAAAATATCTCTTAAAGTATCTTGGAACAACAGTTTGATCAGCTTTGAATCCTCAGCACATGACAAAAATATTTTTATTTCCTAAAAATATACGATGAAAATGCTTTGTCACAATTAATAAAATGACAATAGTTCTTCATGACGTCTTATTAATTTGAATTGGTTTTCGTGTGATAGGTCCGATATATCTCCATAAGACTATATATTTCAGTAAACTTAGAATATATGTAATATAGTATACAGAATGTCACAAAAAAGAGAGTCAAAACCGTTGAGTCACTCTTTAGTTCATTCACAACGCAACAAATGAAGCATCCGGAAGATATTTTGAAGAAACGTGTTTTTTAAAGCTCCGTTTTCTTGCATTTTTGAAGAAAAATTCGTTTCGCTTATCGGTTAATTTGAGATATTTTTTCTAACCGATAACTCTTTTTTTTCTTCATTTCGCCTCAAATCAGAAATACAGTTTCATTCTTTTATTTGCTTTCTGCAATAAAACGTTCTTTCACCATTCGCAGTGGTCTTCTTTTTTTGAAATAACTATTCAAAGTCTAGCCTCCTCCGGTGGCTGTGGATATAAAGCAACTAACTTCGTTCTGGGCCTGTCACTCGAGAAACGTAAGCTTCTCCGATATGAATTTATATAGTTTTTTGACAATAATATTTTATATTTTTACGAAAAGTTGCGTCTTTGGCAGTATTTTCTAGTGAAACAAACATTAAATATTTTTATACGATTATTTTGTCATCAACACCAAAAACTGACATCGGAAAGAATTTATACTGCGCCGTTATTATAAGAAACTTATTCTGAAAATGAGAAACAGAGTTAATTCTTCACGAAGGAGCAAAACAGTTCTACCACTACCTATCTCAGAAATCATGTGCGCTGTGGGGAGGGGGGGGGGGGCAGAGCCCTCCCTACGCTTTTTTTCTGGTTACGCCTCTAGTATCGTTCTCTAGACCTTCAGTTTACATACCGATCAGCTTACCCAGCTGGATGTGCCATGTCATTCTATATCACTTTAACGTTCAATATGTTAATTTTTGACTTTAATGTAAACTTTATTTGAATTCTATGTGAATATAAATTATTTTAAAAAAAAATCAGGAAATGCCATATCATTTTACAT